ACAACTGGAAGAGGAAAGCTTTATAGAAATGTAAATTACAATTTTGATGCCCAATGCAAGTTTTTGAAAACCTTATTTTGAACCTTTATATTATAACAGATATTTCATATTTTAAGGGAAGTTTTATTTCTCTATCCAGGGGTCTGATAGATATTCAAAATCAAGATAGTAAAGTGAAAGAGACTCTGTTTCCCCATTAGTCAGCTACCTCATTCTTTTTTGTTGTTTGACTTCAGCACAGCACCTGGAGTAGAAACAAAGTTTATACCCAGACAGTGAGTCCAGAACATAGGACATCCACATCCAACAATACATTAACATTTCATTTGTGGCCAAATGGACACTGATGTGTGAATCAAATATAGAAAAGGTCCAAGTAATGATGTCATGAGAAATTGCTCTGTACATTCCGTGTATGGGCGCAGTAAAAGTTGCCATTTCTGAGGCAAAAGGAAAAAAGAATGGCCAAGTTGTGCTAGTCCTCTAGACCTGGTTCAACCACTCACTCACCTATAGGTAAACTTGCATGCCTTACAAAAATCTTTGTTTTACAGCTCTATCACTAATGGGATCCACAATAGTTAAGATGGCCAACGAACTAGCCTTCCAACATTCATAATTTAGGGATATATTCCAAGCCCATTGTTTGCTAGGACATAATTCTATTTATTTATTTTTGACACTTGCTATAACAGTGTGGGGAGAGGTTGTGCTTTCCATGCTTGTAAGCAGATAATTGACTTTTCAAAGGGGTGGTAAAGCTATCTTAGAACAGCACTGGTTTTGTGTCTTGTTTGAAAAAAGACTATTGCTTGGCTGCTAATTATGACTTGCTGAAAACTGTCCTTGGCCTGTGCCAAATAAAGTGGCCTTTCAGTTTCATTCAGAAGGTTCTGAGGCTGGTGGTCACTCTGATCTCTTGGAAATGACTTAACCACATAAAATTCCTGTCAGTTGTACCTGGGATGAATCCTAGCCAACTTGCTCTTATTTACCCATCAGGTCCCTCTGAATGCTCAAGTCAGCCAGCTGTATTGGCCTGAAGAAACAAACTTCCTGAAGTCACAGAACCCTTTCATATCACTACTGCTGCAGAACCCCTACCCCAAATGCATGGAGCCTGGCAGTGGCGACACACCACCTCCTGGCCCGCTCTGCCATTACCCCCCGTCTCGTTGTGGAACCCCTGATGACTTATCGTGGACCATCAGGGTTCTGCTAAACCAGGCTTGTCCAACATGCAGCCCTCCAAGCTGTTTTCTGAGGCCCAAGGTGCTGCGATGGAAAACAAAAGTAAACACTTACTTTCATTTGAGGGGGGTGTGATGTGATACCGCTTCCTGTGAGGTCTTTGAATATGGCTCGCCAGCCCACTGGGTGATAAAAAGTTCATGATCCAGCCCCACATTCAAAAAGGTTTGGACACCCCTGTGCTAAACAGTTTGAAAAACACTGACGTAGACCTAGCTGTCATTAACATACTAGAAAAATTAGAGCTCTCGTTACCTATTGACTACAGGCACTGGGTTGGCAGAATCATACAGGAAGGCACTCTGCATGAGAGGGAAGGCCTGGGCGCACTAACCCCAATCTCAGGAAGAAACAAATGTTGCTGTTTGAGAGCCACTGAATTTATGCCTACTCAGGTTCCGACAAAAACCTTCAGGTCAATAGTACTAGAGACTGCTTGCTGATAAATCTGAAAGAATCAGCATGGTCTCTGAACAGGAGAGTTTTTTGTTGCCTGCTGTTACAAAAGTGCAGCATCAAGTGGAAGCATCATTATTCCTGACAGCTTGGATTTCAATGGCAACTGCACATCAGCTACTTCAAAAAAAGCATCAGGATGTAGAAAAGTGGCTGCTGCCTAGTGTTCTGAGAACGTAGCAAACTTCTAGAAAGCTTTCAGCACCAGTGAAAGACTTGTTACAACCATCTGAAGTGTCTTGTATAATTCTTTTGACGTTTTCAGTGTTGTCAATTTGCCATATTTGTGGCTTTTTTTTGTTTTTTTCTTTCAAGACCAAGCTGCTGGAATTATTATCTGATCATCTTAGCTTTCACTTAGAAAAAGAGTAAAAATTTTCCAGGCCTCATCTTTGTAGAATAAAACTTGAAAATATTAACTTAAATATTCCAACGTTACATGGCAAATACAAACGTCAAAGTTTCCGAAAGCTTAAATAAATCGACTGCAACAGTTGTCAACTTCAGTAAACCACCCCGGATTAACAGCTGTTTCAACTGTAAACTCATCTGTCCAGCCAGACAAGGAATTCAGAGAGAATTGTCAGAAGATGCTTAAGGTGTCACAAACTTTAAAAAGTGAAACCAAGTGAAGAATTTCTGCTTGCTCCCCTTCCCCTCCCTTGCCATATGTTCCAACAAGAAATGTTAGAGACTGTTTTGCTGTCTCTCACGCTACAGTACTTTAGCCTTTGAAATAACAAGAGATCAATAATCATCAAGCCTGCATTTCCCTGATCCTCTTAGCAGTTTATATGTCAAGCTTGCACTTAAACAGAGAGTGCCTAAATAGAGATTAATATTTTGCAAGCTAAATAGTATTTGTATACCACTTAGTCTCACTGAATGTGATTGTACATTTTGATAATCTCAATAAATTATACTTGGTCAAGACCAGAATATCCTCTGCTGTGGGAATCAAATACAAAAGAAGGTAATTATTCATGAAAAGTTCACTTCTGTTAGTTTTCTGTGTCATCCATCCACCAGGCAATAGCGGATGAATAGGCAATGAACAGGCGATGCAATTGTGTTCCTGGGATAAAACTAGAATAGGCAGTGTGTGCATTCAGTATTGCTGGCCTATCATATTGCTAGGTTTGTCAGCCTGTGGAATCATGGAAGCAGAAGAATCTGGCTGACAAATAGCAGAACTACCACAAGAGTTGGTCTCAGAGCCCCAACAAGCTGTTCCAACAGAGATGGTTCAGCTTTTTCAAAGGCATCTACCCAGAACCTTCAACAGTGTTTGTCTAAAGTCAAAGCTTTGTCTGGGATGGCTTAGGTAGGGGGAGAGGTGATCCTGCCTTGAGCATTGATGATCCCTTGAGGTTCTGTTCCAGCCCTATTTTCTGTGATTCTATAGACCAGGAGTGTCAAAGATACAGCCCACTGACCAGATCCAACCTTCAGAGCCCTATCCTCTGGGGGCTCATGTTGCATTGATGTGCTACTGTGGCTGCACAGGGAGCATAGCGCTGGTTTGGTGAGTGTAGTGGGCTGCACCCCAGGCCACACTTCAGCCTGGGCTGTACTTCGGGCTAGTCTGGGGCACACGTGCTGCAGGCTGTGCTCTGGGCCAGTGCGCTTCGCCTGTGGCCCTAGGCAGGGCTAGTTTGTGGGCTCAATCTGGCCCAGGACCAGCCCCACAGCACCAGGTGGTTTGATGCCTCTGCATTGCTGAAAGCTTTATTATTAGTGATATTTATTATAAATCAAATGACTAAGTTTGAGCTAAAACATCATCAGACTTGCTGAATTCTTGGTGTTGTAGTTTCATGCTTCTATATATGATGATGTAGATGAAAAATGTAAGTATGAATATTTAAAGCATGTTATTTTAAAGCAAAATTTCACTGAATTTTAACTGTTGTGCTATAATCATCTTAGCTGTTTATATTCAGTACTAGACAAAGACAACCTAGAACCTGATGTTTCAACACTAGAAAAGTGGATTTGTCAAATTCCTGGCACTTCTGAAATTTACTGCTTGCTCATAACCATTGCTTTTAATGATGTTTTTCCTTTTGTAATAACAGGAGGGACAAAAGCAACATGTTGTGTTATCCTTACTGTACTGTGCTACACATCTTAAAAGAAAGAGGTTTGGAAGAAGTAGGCAAGCCAGGTATTTGTTGTTGAGATATTTACATTCTAGAACAGTGCTCCAGCCTCTGTTAAGTTTTTGACAGATATCCCAGTGAACTTCTGCCCTCCTTTGAAGCTGGTGACAAACCTGCTTTTGATTTAAGTGGAGCCAAAACTTCGATCTCCCTTCCCAAGATCTTTTATGGGACGTACTCAAACCTTTAAATGCTTGTATTAAATTCAAGGGGATTAGTATATGCCTATATATTTGGAGGTTCAGACCCTTACTAGGTACTTCTCTTTTGAACTATTTTGCAATTTTAGATTTAAGATTAAATATTTTAACCAGTAGATGGCTACTTTGATTAAAATAGAAGGGTAACATGCCTCATATTTATCAATAATATGACATAAGTAGAAGCATATTCAAATGTTAGTAGAGCATCCCTCATCTTGGCACTACACTGAAAAAAGAGATGCCAATCAATACAATAGAATCTTTTTCTTTTCTTTTCTTAACATTTGGTTTAACCTGGATCCAAGATTCCCATAGCAGTTAGAACTATTTATGGGAGAATTCTGTATGTGGCTTCGTGTCACATGATTCAAAAAGAGCTGTTTTTAGCAACCTCCTCCTCATTGTTCTGAGCAAGTAATCACTGTTGTCCACAGCCAAACTCAGCATCAGCACCTGATTCACAGGGGAACCTGCATCTAAAACTTCTGATTTTGTGGAGCCCTTTTTAACCACAGTCTGGTCTCTACAGGATTAACAGAGCGGTGTAGTAAGGGGTCGGCACTGTGGAGCAGACTGTGTAAAAACAACATAGTTGGTGAGGAGCTGCTCACCAACATGTGTAACAGGATCACTCCTCAAGTGAGGTGGTCCTCAGTTCAAAGAAGCGTGGGTATAATCCAGTCCCACATTTACAACTTAATGCAGAACAGACCAGTTACAAAGCATTGTGTATTTTCAAAATTACTGACCAAAATACAGCTGGTGATGCAGTATGCTTATCTTTTTAATGTATGTTCAGCTCCTTGCTAATTTTACACCACAGTAATTCACAATGGATTTTTGAGTTAACTGATTCAACTTATAGAGCTCCTGGCATACTTTTGCATGCACTTGCTATCTTGAAACTAAAGAAAAAGACACACTGTTCTATATTAACCTTTAATAAAATATCCAGAAATTACATTTCAGTGTTGTGTATAGATCTATTTTTCTGATCTCTGATCTGGGTTATTTGAAAGTAACCGCAGAATTGTGAAACCAAAACATGTCAGGCAAGGAGAAGGATTTGGTCCTAGATCAATGTTTTTATTATTTCAAACTCTCAGACAAATATTTCTGAAGAACACTGACACAAATATTTGCACAAGCATATTAAAAATATCTGCTTTGCATGTAAGGTTATATGTTAGAATTCATGCTATTCAAATCTCAATAGCATAATGGCAAATTAAAAACATTTCCAGCAGTATAAATCACTACACTTGAGTGGACAGTAAACTGCATTTCCTGTTTTTTTAGGACAAATGACACTTCAGTGGCAATGAATTTGCCAAGCTATATAGGTACTGAGTGAGCAAAGCTACACCTAGCTTTGAAATGCCACACCACTCACAAATGATCTTCATCCTCTCCTGTTGTCATTGAACTTCTCTGCAATCTTCTGCAGTTCCAAATCCATGGCAGCCAAATTTTCCAGTTCCTTTTCCTGTGAAGTATCAATACCAAGATAACTTTAGAATAGGGTATTTCATATCATTCATCATCATACAAAACTCTAATTATAGGATGTCACTTAACACTGTTTATCCTACTAATCTGTGAGGATGTCTACACGTGCATTTGATCTCGGAGCAGTTTACTTGTGAGGAAACTACTCACAAGTAAATGTTCCTGGGCAGGCATCTACATATGCAGGGATCTGGAAAAGATTTGCTGTTCATGGCAGCAATCTGCTTCTGCCCAACCTGGCCCTGCACTGGCCCCCTGCAGCAGGGAGCATGGGGCCAAGAGACAGCTGTCTCTTGGTGGGGGCTGGGACATTGCTCTCTGCCCCCGGGAGGCTGCCTGCCGCCAGAGCAGGTTCCATCACCAAAGTCCCGGTGGGTACAATGTTCCCCTGCCTCGGCAGCAGGCAACTCCTGGCCCCAGCTCCCTGATCGAGGGCAGGGGAGGGGCAGGTGTCAACCCCCTGCCCTGATCTGCCAGTGGGGTAGCCAGCAGTGAACCCCCAGCTGGGCAAGGATTCCCTGCCCAGCTGGGGACTCGCTGCTAGCTGCCCCACTGGTGGATGAGAGCAGGGGGCTGGCACCTGACTCTCCCCTGCAGCTGTTCCTGAGCCCCATGTCTCGATAGCTCAATTGGGACAAAGGGCTTGGACCTGCCCCTGATCGCAGAGCTAGGCAGGGAACAGGTTCCCCAGCCCCAACCAGCAGGGAGCTCCCAGCCACCACTGGGATCGGGGATTGGGGGATGGGAGATCCTTATCTCCCAGTGCCAGCTCTGCAGTTGCTGTAGAGCTCAGGCTGGGAAATAAGGATCTCCCAGCCCCCTGCTCCCCGACTGTGGTGGCAAAGTGGGGGCTGGGATATAAGGATCTCTCAGCCCATGCTTCCTGACCATGATCTTGGAGCTGTGGGGGCTGGGAGCTCCCTGCTGCTAGTGTAGGGGGATATAGTCCCCACCCAGGCTCTGGTGGCAGATCCTGCCTCTGCAACAAGCAGGCCTTAGGCCCAGAGAGCAATCTCCCACTCCCTGCTGCCCAGCTGCGCATTTGCTCCTGGTCAGGCATGTACACAAGTACTATGCACAGTAACTAATCACAAGTCTCCATATTTTAGCCAAGTTGTTAGAGACTCGGGCTACAGCAGCCCTCCCTTCCCTTCCACAGCAGCTACAAGGCTGGATGGACACTAATTGGGGGGGGGGGGGGGGGGGGGCGCCGGCCGCCCGC